CCTACAAGGCTCTGTATGGCCCTCTGGGCCTTCCATGTGCACTGGGCCAAGGATGCCCTACAGCCTCCATACAGCCACCCCATCTCTGTGTGCAGAGCCCCTGGGGGCCGCACAGAAGGACTGTTTGGTCCTACCTATCCATGTGTGCATAGAGACCCGTGGGGCCCACACAGATGCTGATAGGGCACCCCTGTCCCTTTGAACACAGAGGCCCAAGAGACAGCACAGATGTTCCCACATACACAGAGGCCCCCGAGGGCCACATGGAGGTTCTCAGCACCCCCATCACCTTTCCTACTGAGGCCCTGGGAAGCCACGTGGAGGCCTGTAGGGCCCCCCATCCTTGTTCACACAGAGGCCTCGAGCAACCGGAGGGAGGCCCATAAGGACCACTGCGTTCCCACRTGCACAGAGGCCCCAGGAGACCATACAGAGGCCCGTAGGGCCCCTCCGTCCTTCTGCCCATGGTGACCCTTTGGTTCACAGGAGGCTCATAAGGCCTCCCCTTTCCATTACATGTGGACAGAGGACGGTGGGGCAGCATAGAGGACCATAGGGGCCCCCCATAGCYAAGTGCACAAAGGACCCTGGGAGCCACATGGAAGTGCATAGGGCTCCCCCATCCCTGTGTACATGGAGGCCACTGGGGGCATCTTCCAAATCTGCCTGGATGCCACCCTGTGCCACRTGCTCTGGGTGTTTCTGTTTGAGCAAGGGGGTGGGACTAGATGATCTATAGAGGTCCCTTCCAACCTCCACCATTCTGTGATTCTTGCTGTGAGTACAGGGACACAGCATCAGGAAAGCAATGCCATCCACTGCTAAAACAAAAACAAACAAAAACCAACACATACACCACTGTCTCAAAAGTTGGTCCTTCTCCTGAAAAGACTCACCTCCAACTCACTTTAAAGCTTCCAGTTCTCTCCTTCACCTCTGAGATTCCAGCCCAGCCTTCTGCTTTCCTCCAACTTTAAAGTCATGTCTCCCAAGGTCAGTGAGCCCAACTTCAGCACTCCTGTTTTTTAGCCCACTGTGCACACTTGGCTTTTGACTTGTCACCACTTACACTGGCTTTCTTGCATGGTCTCTTCTCTAGCACAGAGCAGGATTTCAACTGTGTTTTATAGGGCCAGGGSACCCCCAAGCTGTTCGCACTGCAGGTGCTGCCAGAAAAAACAAAATCAAATACAAAGGAACTCAACCATTAACCTGCAAGACACCAGCTGCTCGTCAGGAGCCACCCACAGAACAAGCCCATGATTCACCCAGTGTTTTAAGAGCATTCATGTCAAACATACACTAACCTCCTCCCMTTCCAAAACACTGAGGCCATATGGTAATATACTGCCCCATACTGCCTATGGTCTCCCCTAACAGGGCCTATTTCAAAAGCATGACAAGCCTCAATGAGGTCAAAGTTACTCTCCGCATTAACAGTCACTATTCCATTTAATAGTGGAACCATAAAGGAACTTTACCCTTTCCTTCTTAAGGATGAGCCCACATRCTAGCTTGTTTCATATTCGTTGCAGGTAGAAGACTTCTAACAAACTTATCTCAATACCATTTACCCAGAGCTATCATGTCTACTGCCCTCTCCAACACAGCCTTCCTCCAGTCCTTGGAAAGTTAAGGCCAACTCCCTCTTGCCAGACCTTGGCACACTGGGACACAAGGACAACMTGAGAACAAGACACAGTGAACACCAGTTTCTTCAACTCAGCTCACTCATTTGACTGCGCAGATACCTGCAGAGATGTTCCCCTTGTGATGCATCCATGGGCTCCAAGAAGAGAGCTCCTTCCCATGTCTCACCCCAGGGCACAGGCTGCCCAGGCTCCAGCTGTGRCACCTGACAGAGCTCTTGGAAGGCTGGCCCTTGGGGACAGGGCCCTGCCTCCCCACATGCCCTCCCCTCCTCAACCTGACCTCCCCGAAAACCACACCGACCATTTACAGTGTGCCAGGGAGGAGCCGCTCATMAGGACAGTTGTGACCAAGCATCACCTACTCTTCCCATTTTTTGAAAAAGGATGAAGAGATACATCTGTGTACAAGATCAAGAGATACAAGTGCATAAGAGGTACCTCCCTCTACTCCCAAGCCTTTTCCCCACCCAGACACCACAACTTGAAGTTTTGGCCTCCACCCATAGCAAGGYTTTCACCAGTTCAAAGCTCAAATGCAACACTTTAAAGCTAAATTTAAAGATCAAAGAGGAATCATCAACTCCCAGACATAACTTCAGAGCAGAGGGGCAGTGACACTGCAATTTCAAGCCTGCTCTGGCTAAGCATAGGTGATAACATTAAATTCATGTTCATGTTAAATTCATGTTCTCCTGGAACACCTTGTGCTATTCCCATGTTAGACAGTATTTGTGGATCCTTGACTTAACTCACACATAACACTAGTCCTCCTCTGACCTGCAGCCCTGAGCTCCCCAGTTCTAGAAGTTTCACTGCTCCTTTACATGCCCATAGAAAGGCATTGGTTACCATCCCATTCCTAATCCAGCCTGCAGCAGTGTCAGTGAGTACCACTCTGAAGAGAGGCACTTTAGACTCCCAAGCCTCTAAAGTCTGGGACATGATCAGGTTTGTTGCTACAACTTAGCTAGAGGACATACTGCCCTATGTAGAGGCTTGACATTCTTGTCTAATTTAGGCAACTTAGAAAACAACCTCTAGAGCTATGACCCATTATATTGGGATCTCTTTTTTTCCCCTTAAAAAAAAAAAAAAARAAAAGAAAAGAAAAGAAAACTTCCACTCACCTTGAACATTTTTTCAGAGCCTTTTTCCTACTTGATCATTTCCTTTTCAGAAAAAGCACCTAGAAAGCAGTGTTTGAAAAAGCCTGCAGAACAAAACCAACATCTAGAGTCAGTGCTAGACCCTTTCCCCAGTACATACTCCTCTCCTGTTCACAGGCCCACCTCATTTGTACTTGCTAACCTTTGTCAGCCCTCTAACCCAGCTAGCTCCTTCCACAGCTGTGAAACTAACTGAGGGGGATGGCTAAGGCTGGCCTTAGCCACTATATCTTCTCTGTATTTCTGTGGTAATCCCAGCACAAGCTTGGAGCTCACTACACTTTTTGCGAAGACACAAACATTAATTAAACATTTCCTTATAATTTTAACAAGGCAAGAATTTTCCTGATCAGTAGCTGAACAACACCGACTATTTTAAAAAAGCTGTTTGGCTATTTCTGCTATGTTTTTTTTTTCCCCCATTGTGAGACTTTGTCATACAATAAATTGAGTATAACTTAAGTAGAAAGACCTACTGAAGAGACCTTAAAAATATACTCTCTTCATATCTGGCTCAGGGTTTTTTTTTTTTTTTTTTTTTTTTTAAAAATTTGTCTTGTGGAGGTAGGAACTTAAGCTCTCTTTCTGGAAAGAAAGATACTGTACAGAGAATTTCCTACCTTCTAAAATTCTACGGAGATCCTACATAACTTACAGTAACTCTTCTGACACAAATAAAAACTTACCCTGAGACAACAGGACAAAAATTATATTTAAAAACCCCAAAAAATAACAAGAAGAGGTGAAATATATAATAAAAACCAGGAACATTATCATTTTGATGCAATTACACACCTGCAACATAACAGCCTTAGAGCAACAAGCTTAGCAAACAAAGTACATACAAAAATTCTAGCTATCTAAAATAAACATCCATTAAAAAGTACAAAGACCGAAAAGAAAACCCTGCACAACCACCAGCTTCACTATGGGGCCCAGGCTCAGCTTAAATACAGCCCAATGGCCAAGGGCCAGAACCGCCAAGAGATTCAGGATGGGGAACCCCAGCTGAGCCTCATCAGGGCAACTGGGAGCACTCAGGGCACTGGTTCCTCTATATGAGATATAGGTTGTTTTAAGCACCTTGCAATAAAGCAGAGGTCACCAGCAGTGGTTTTGTTGCTGTCAATGTGTAGGGTGTGTAGATCCTCTAAACAATTAGTGTTACCTGCCTCCCAAGGCAGTGGAGACAATGGCAGCCAGAGGCTTCTTCCAACAGCTGCTAGTGGTTGATGGTGAAAAACACATTTTTGATGAGAGGAAAAATGGACCTCAGAAAAATGGACCAGCTCAAAGGTGGCCTAGGCCACTTGCTGGCTGTGGCAGAAGCACATACCAATAAGAGAAAGCACAATTTGAGGTCCATCAAGAGTTGAGATGTAACTGAAAGGTGATCCTTCCTGCAAGAAGGGCACAGACAGCGGAGGACATTGTCTCCCATGTGTAGCTGTTTGCCATCGGTCCTGGACTAGGGCAACCAAAGCACCTGAGCACAGTAAGCTCAGAGCTTTACCCTAGGAAGCAACTGGGGCTAATAGGCACCAGGCATGTTCCCAAGGGACCCTAGGGTGATTCTGACAGGAGCAGATTGAAGCAAATGAATATCTTTTCAATAAGGAGAGGAAAATTTCATTCAGGATAGTGCCACCTATGCTGCTCTTTGTCTGAATGCCCCAAAGTACGTCACAGCTTTCAGTGTCAAAGGTGTCACTTGATGAAGTCCTTTCATGGTTCAGAAAACTCACAAGGAGGGAAGGGTTGGATAAAAAACCACCATGCATGGCCAGTTCATCGTCCCTCCATCTCTCCCTGCACTGCTTCAACTATTATCATAGCTATTTGCATTTGAATAAGAACTTTCTCCCTCTGCAGTCCACTTCCTTCTGAGGCTTGGATTGGCAAATGGAGTTGTTAAAAAACTTCAGTCTGAGACCTCACAAAAGATGGTTGCCATGGAAATAATTGAAGTTGCATCACGAGCAAAATATCTGCAGGCCTGAAGCCAGTGGGAAGGAGGATGAGTAGAGAATACCTTTGCTACTACACAACTTCCATGGGAATTAGGTAGCCCATGTGGCTCCACGCAAATAGCAAATGGCTTTGATAAGAACATCCCTGGGCTCAGACATCTGCAGGAGTTTCCCTTAGTTATGTCAATTTTTCCTCAGACTCAGAAGACCCTAAAGCATATTGAGAAATGTAGAACTTCATACCTGCATGGAAAATGCTTAGAGACAACAGAGCCAATCTCACCAGTGTTTCCAGAAGTCTCCGCATGGATTTCAGCAAAATTGCCTCACATGTAAATTTATTCCTCTGTGTGAGATCAAGGGAGGTGAGCTGTGTGAGAGGAAGAATTACACCTCTTAATGRCCTTGGGTGGTCAAGGATGAAAAATGGATTACAGCATGGATGTGTTTAGATTCCCAGGGTTTGATACTTAAATTTGCTCGATCTGAGCTATTGTACCATTTTGCCACCCCAAGGTAGATGTTGGAAGGAGAACCATGCTCTTTGGCTTTAAACTAGTGGTGTAGCAAACTCTTTCTGAGAAAGGAAGGGTGTCTTCATGAGGGAAATTAAAAAAGAAAAAAAAAAAAAAGGATAAAATCATGCAGAGAGAGGCAGTGACAGCACTCGGGTCAGCGGAAATCAAGACGAGTGTACATAACTTCTGCAGGACAGGCTCTCCCTGCCTTGTCACTCTGTGACTACTTCACTCATCCTCAGTTTAGCTGTCATGGGCACGCTGTACCCGTGAGGGATGCCCTTCCAAAGAAAGCGTCTGGCTTTCCTAGCATCAACAGGACGCACAGCCCTGGAATAATTTTCTGGAAAAAAGAGGGTAGTTTCCATGAGCAGGATCCCAGCTCTGCAGAAGAAAAGGCTCTGCATYGCTGGGGCTTCAGGCTCTGTTCAAGCCAAGAAGGAGTGGATCCCTTAGTCCACACGGTCTCTTCTCTCTCCCTGGGATTTATGGATTTATGTATATCCGCAAAGCCTTCTTGCTTGAAGCCTTGCCTAAGTCATGCTGCAAAAGAGGTGCCTTATTTTGGATGGGAGCATTGAAGGTGGTGGATGTACAAGCCAGACAGAGTTGTTATCACCACCGGCAGCATTAGGGTGAGCAGCACATGGCTGGAAAACCGCTGTGCTCTTGCTTCTTTCTCATTGAAGCTCTGCTYTTGGAAATGGGGGTTGTTGACAGAAGCCATTGGGGAAGATGCCATGAAGTTCCAAGAGCGATGTCAGCTGGAGGTTTGGGCATTTCCCTTTGGTTTATATGTTTCTATAACGACAGAGCACTGAGYGTGGCAGCGTCACCTTTACAGCAATAACAGAGCGTTTACACTGATTTTCAGAGATTAGTGCCCATCACCCTGCCTACCATGGTGCCACTTGCTAGCTGTCAACATGATTATACTAATCAGTGGATGGTACCTTGGCTGAAGGGAAGCTGAGGCTGAGGTGTTTACCCCAGTTCAGGCACCTTGGATTTAGTCAGCGGCTGCTAGAGATGACACATGGGATCGCCAGGACCACTCTGTCCTCACTGCCTTCTCCACCCAGCTAAGCCTGCCTTGCTCCTGCATGTTCATGTTCCTCAGCCTTGCTGACCCTTCTGGTAAGTTTCCATAGATGAAGCCACCAGAGGAGACAGGGAACCCCCCAAAACACCTTGCCCTTCACGAGCCTCATCCTGAACCCACAGGTTGATGACACTGCTGGTTAGGCCAAGTCACCAATGGGCACAGGAGATGGGGAGCTATCTGATGGTCTACACAAAACCTGCAGCCAACATCTATCTTAAGAGGACAGAATAAGCAATATGGTCCTGTTTAGCCTAGAGAAGATTGAGAGGGATCTTATCAACATGTACAATACCTGAGGGGAGTATGTAAAGAGGATGAGGCCAACCTCTTCTCAGYGGTGGCCAGTAATATGTAATGGGAAATTTCATCTCCATATGAAGAAGAGCTTTTTTACTGTTGAGGTGACAGAGCACTGGAACAGACTGCCCAGAGAGATTGTGGAGTCTCCTTCTTTGGAGATCTTCCAAACCCCCCTGGATGCAGCCCTGTGCCATGTGCTCTGGGTGTCCCTGCTTGAAAAGAGGGATTAAACTAGATGATCCCTAGAGGTCCCTTCCAACCTCAACCATTCTATGGGCTGTGAACACACAGCTCTTCCCAGTCCTCAGCTTCAGGGAGAATCCCATGCATTTGGGGATGCTCTGGGAGATGTGCACATCTCTCTGTCCATCTTTGTGGACTCCTTGAGACCTGGTTGAAAATGAAGAAGGAAGCACAGCAAAGGACAGGTCTTTCTCTGAGAGAGTATTCTGCAGCACTTTTTGTATGATTAAAGAGTTTCTCACCATACACCATGGGACCTGAGTGCAGACGAAGCCAACTGGCTGAAGGATAAAGCTGGCTTTAGAAAATCTTCATTAATTTGCTGCCGCAAGACCTGGCCATACTTAAGGAAATTAAAACACTAGCTCTCCAAATCATCTTTCAATGAGCTAAGGTGCAGACGATCTCATGGGGAATACGCAGTAAGATGGAAACAAGCACATTCATAAATTTGTTCTGCATTTCATTAACTTACCACTTCTAAAGGGATTTGACTGGTTACAGAGCGGCCTTTCCATGGGGAAAAAATAAGTTTGCCTGATCCGGCATCATTTCCTTTCTGCCCTTTTTTTCCCAGCTAATACTGCCGTGGGAAAACAGGACTGAGCTGGTCTAATCATGGTAATGAAACAAATGGTAATTTTTGATGCTGCATAGGGACCGCGTGCCCTGTGGACATTGCCACCTACTGAGTCACCAGCAGTGCTTTTTCTTCCAAGCCTTTGGAGGGTTTAGCATCATAGGCAGCTTTGAGTTAAACAAAAAAAACCATTTGAATGAAAAGAAATTATCATCTTAACTCTTTGGAAATGAGATTTTAAATCCTTCACAGAAGCAGCAGGGATGGGAAAGAGTAGGTATCTGCGTGCACCTACAGGAAGTGACAAGGAAATGGAGCTGGGGGACGATTTTGGAGCTTTCCCAGTGGGGACAAAGCCACAAGCTCTTGGGGAATAAATGGTCAAAATACTCCCTTTGCTGGTCCAGGTAGAGCTGTGGTGGTTCCCAAGGTCCATAAGTCATAGGGTTAGTTTTTCTTAAAGAGTAAGAAACACGGCACGTATTTATACAAAATATATGCATTTTCAATATGGGTATARCGAGTCTGTCCAGGTAGCAGTCAGTAGCTGCCTCCTTCTGAGCTATATCTTGCTGCCATTAGAAGGCAGTAATTCACCTCTTCACATTAGCTCTTTAGCCTTGTTTCTTTCAAAAAGGAGTATATGTGATTATTCTGCTTGCTAGCCTATTCCTGACTCCTTTTTCCATATACCTTTTTGCTGGAAGAAATGCTGGTGGTTTCATAAGATTTCTGATTCAGCCTGAATATTTCTGGGGATGCTGAGAGCACGTATATGAAAAAAGCTATTTCTGCAGGATAAGTGTGTAGAAATGCCAAGATCATAATTTCAAAATGACTGTCATTGAACCGTGTGATAATATTGCACTGGAAGGTCAGCATTGCAATTTAGGGGATCTTCTAGGGTTTAGTGCAGCAACACCAGTGGATGGAGCTAAATGTTAAATGTTCAAGGTGCCTTTTATGTACACAGCTTACTTAACACATCTGAGATTTTTGTTTTTAACCATGAGATGATCTTTGTAATGGTTCTTCACTAAGCTAATCGTTGCCAGAGTTTGTGAGCCCTATTTTATTTTATTTTATTTTATTTTATTTTATTTTATTTTATTTCATTTCATTTCATTTCATTTCATTTCATTTCATTTCATTTAGAGGTATCTCCATACCAGTGGACACTTTAAAACT